AAATGGTCCAACACTTAGAAAAATTTTTAGGCGGGTGAACAGTAACCAGGCTTACTGGAATTTGCATTTCCTTCCGGACAGACTTTACGAATGGGCATAACTTCTTCGTCCGAACTCCGAATGAGGTGAAACGAAGTGCGTTAGGTAGCTAACTCAAAGGGATTTCCATGGATATGTTATGGGCCACCCAATTATTTGTGTGCTAGGAGATATGACCCTCCAAAGTAGACCCTCGAAAAAGGCTTCACTTGGAAATTTCGGATTTTGATACGATTGCTCTAAAATTTGGGTTAGACCCATTTCCCACTCAATTTGACCCCCTAAACAAGAATATGAAGTCGGATTTTCGAAAAACGAAACGGATCTTTTTATATACAGCTAAACAAGTTTCCGGTAACTTCCGAAACACATTTTTAAGAACTTTTTGGGTCAAATTCAAATATAATCATTTCATTAAGTTCTCAACTCCAAACTCACATGTGAGGCTCTAGTTTCACTCTATCCTTTTCCGAGTCGTTACATATACCTATGTATAAATAGAGTTTCCGTCGAAGTTCGGGGGTGGCGTGGCACCCCCACACCCCTTCATAGATCCGGCCCTGTAAACAACGGTTGGAAGTTACTTAAGGTCACACGTTCAAATTCTAGCTATGATAGTTTAGCATTTTTTTTAATATCCCCGTGTATAAATTCCTAGCTCTGTCATTTGAAGGTGTGCAATATCCAACAAAGCCCTTAAAGATACCTAAACTTCTAATCGCCTGTCCAAAATCAAGTGTGTTAATAAACTTCAACCTTTCAACAGATCTTTACACTCTAGGTAGATGCACAACATGAGCTACCTGAATAGCTAATGATTACCTGAAAGCTGAACATAAATTGTCTTGCTTTCTTGCTAACTCCAGGATTAGGATGAGACTGAAGCTTCTCGTACATTGAACGAGCTTCATTGGACCTGTCCATATATGGTGTGGAAATGAATGATCAGTTTTAGAAGTAGGCACAAGGTCCATGCAAGTGCAAGTTCACGCTTAATGATTTGAACATTCAAGCATCACAAAGATCATGACATGACAGAAGGCTTGTTGCAAAAACGACCATTCCACGCTGAAGTTCTAGAGAGATGCAATTCCCTCTGGACTCTGACAAATTTGGATGGGATAGACACTCATCTTTTTATGTATTTTTCACGAGTGTTGCTTTTGGGCAGGAAATCAGTCAGTGTTCCTTTTTTTAAAGTAACTACCAGGGATTGATATATTAGAAAGTTGGTTAATTGATGTCTAGAGATAGATGCTCGTCACATATAAATTATGAAAGAGAAAATAATTGTTTTCGTCCCTGTGTTGTTGTCTTATTTTTGTTTTGGTCCCTATGATATCTCGCAAATCATACTTAACCTTTAATTAATTAAAGTAAGTGATTTCAGTCCTTCTACTAACAGTGAATATCAATTTAAACAGATCACTTACTGCTGTCAGGGGTAATTTTGGTATTACAACAAGAAACACTTCTATGCAGGGAAAAAAACCTAAAGCTACAAAATATTTAAAACTTCTCCCGTAACATCCTCTCTTATACACAAGCTAGCATATCCCAGCCCTACTCCCTTCTTCAATTTGAATGTGAATTCAATCCTCTCATACACTACTTTGTGTGTTCGTTGGTTGATGAACAATTTTTCTCTTTAGTTGCCTCCCATTTATATGAGAATACAATCCAGACACTCCTCCTGCAGCACAAAAAACAACTCAGTACACTTCTTGAAGTGAAACAATATCATTCAATTTCACAATGAAACTCCAAAGCAAGAATGGACTACAATTCACGCCGGCATGTAAGTACTCAATTAATTTATTTATAGCCTAAATCTTTGATTATATGGAAATCTGAAGAAAAAAAAAGTTGAGTTACAGAACGCAACAACTAATATTTCACATAAAGAATAAATATCCATTTTTTAAAAAAAGCTATAAGAATTATAAAAATCAAATATTTGTAGTGCATACTCTAAATTTGTATGACATATTACATTTTGTGTTTGTTCCACTTATTAGAATACCATAAGCATATTCTTGTTTTTTTTAAAAACAATAGATGAAAATGAAAATTCAGAAGTGCACACAGTTAAATGTGAAGTAATCATAAACTATGATACAGATAAGTAAACTTTTTTAGGAACTGTAGTTTGCATAATTCAAATTCAAAATTAATATAGATTTACATTATTGGTTACATATTTTTGTGTTGGATTTGTATCATTTACATTTTCTATTGGAGATGTTTATTGTTATAACACTAATAGAATCTACTTTTTCTTTTACACGACAGATGAAGGTGAAGATTCATATATGTACACCATTAAATTACACTACAAGGGTTGGTGGGTGTTTGAGCCAGTGATGAACTATGTTAATGGACATATAGCTTAATATGACTATTGCAATGGAAATAAAAATTCCATTATTCAGATGAGGCAATGTATGAAAAAGTTTAAAGTTAATGATAAAAAGGTGAAATTTTGGTTCAAGTTTGGGCCTTATTTTGAGACGAGTATAAGACTTTTGACAATTGATTTAGATATATATAACCTTGTCTATGAAATAACTGACAGTAGAGTAGTTGAAATATTTGTTGAGCACACGGAAGAGGACCAATGGAACTATGATGTAGCTGTTTCTGAGGGCAACCCATTACAAGGCGGAGAAGATTTGATAGATGTGAATGTAACAGAGAAAAGTGACGAGAGTGATGCCACATGTGAAGAATGTGAGTCATTTAATGACCCTGATTATTCCTTGGAAGAAGATGATATGATTTTTGATAAAATCGTTGACTCTACTGTAGAATGGGTTGGCCTTAATGGGAGAAACAGAGAAAATCAAGTTAAAGAAAAAACTATGGAGGTTGGAGTTGCCTCAAACATGTTGGCTATGTTTCCCAATGACACTCAAGAAAATGATTGTGCTACATCAGATGAGGAATTAATGAGTTTACATGGAGATTCTGATGATGAAAATCTTAAAAGATCCATTGTTTTTAATCCAACTAGGGGATTTTGGAGGATCCAAAATTTTAAGTTTACACTTGATATGATTTTCAGCAATAGCAAAGAATTCAAGTGGGCAGTTGAGGTACATGCTGTGTTCCAAAAAAGAGACATCAAGTTTAAGAAGAACGAAAGTACAAGGTCGAGGGCCATTTGTAAGGTGTCGAGTTGCAAATGGTTCATATTTGCATCAAAGTCTAATCAAGATGAACCTTTCAAGATCAAGACAATAGGCCCTGACCATTCTTGTGGCAAACAAAGAGATAACAAGACTATTGACTCGGGATTTTTGGCTAAGAAGTACGTAGAAGAATTTAGAATAAATCCAAGTTGGGGAGTAAAAGAATTCCAAACTCATGTGATGAGGACTCATAATTGTACTATTACTCGAACCCAAGCTTATATGGCAAAGAGGAAGGCATTAGATCTAATTACAGGAACTAAAGAAGAGCAATTTGATATGTTATGGGATTACTGTGCTGAGCTAAGAAGGAGTAATCCAGGGACTACATGTATTTTGAAGCTGGATGAAAATCCAAAAACAATGGTTAATGGTAGAAAAAGATTTTTGAGACTTTATATATGTTTTGCAGCTTGCAAACAGGGTTTTTTAGCCGGATGTCGACCGATAATAGGGGTTGATGTATGTCATTTGAAAGGGCACCAAAAGGGGAGTTAACTATTGACAGCAGTAGGCATTGATGGAAACGACAACATATATCCTATTGCATTCGCAATTGTTAGAAGGTGAACTAAGGAACATGGAAGTGGTTTCTAACGCTTCTTGATGAGGACCTAGGAATATCACAAAACCCTTTTGCATGGACTTTCATTTCTGATAAACAAAAGGGTTTAATTCCAGCATTTGATGAGATGATGCCAGATATTGCACACAGATTTTGTGTGAGACATCTACACAATAATTCCAGATAAACCCTTTTGCATGGACTTTCATTTCTGATAAACAAAAGGGTTTAATTCCAGCATTTGATGAGAAGACATGTTCTTGTAGAAGATGGGACTTAACAGGAATACCTTGTAATCATGCTATTGCAGCTATATGGATTAAGAAGGATGAGCCTGAAATATATGTTCATGAATGTTATACAGTTGATCAGTACATGAAGAGTTACAGTCCATCCATCCTGCCAATTGTCAGCATTGAGCAATGGCCTAAGACAGGTATTGAACCACCATTGCCACCAATATATAAAGTACAACCAGGGAGACCAAGAAAACTAAGGAAGAGAGGGATTGACGAGACAACTAAAAAAGAATCAGATTCTGGAAAGCTTACCTTGTTAAAAGCATCAAGAAAAGGCAGAAAAAAGAAGTGTGGATCATGTGGAACATTAGGGCACAATAGTAGAAAGTGCCCTATTCTTATGGGGAGAATCCACTCTGAAGTTCAACAACAACAAATTCATCAAGAAGTCGTAAAGGAAGGCCCTTCTACACCTAATAATGCAACAGAAGTAAGTAGTCAAATAAATTGGTTCTTTTCAGTTATTGTTGTCTACTTAATAATGCAACAGACATAAGTAGTCAAACAAGTCCAGGATAATGATACAATTTTTTTATTGTAAGGTTCAAGCACCATTATTGAGAGTGCGACATCAATGCAGTCCAATTCTTTTATAGCTGAACGAACTGTAATTACCTTTCTTGTTATCTACTAATGTTGCTTGTATCCGACTTACTATCTGACTTATTTTCTTATATATATATTGTAGGTCAATCAACTTAATCAACCAAGGGTACCAAAAGAGCAATTGAGAAGTTCTGCTTTCATTTTAGAAGAAATTGGTGAGCATTCCAGAGAAGTTACAAGACCACTCTTCATCGAGAGAATGGGAACACAATACGTACCAATATCAAAATTACAAGAAGTACTTTCTCAAAGTAGAAAGAGGGTGGGAAGTGATCCACGGGCCAAGAAAAAAAATGTTCCTTAAATAAAGAAGTACATACACAAGTTTAGATCTAGTTCTTTCATTATGATTATGAAATTATTCATGTTCATGGATGATTTTGTTTTCTTTTTGAAACTTTATGCAACTTAAAATCTATGAAAGACGATAGAATAAATTATTGAATTCTCATGAGAATTTGAAGTTACTAATTTAAAATTTATGCATCAGCTTTAAGTTCATAAAAGATTAGTTTACATAGTTGCTTTAGTCTATCAATTTAAACATGTATATTGTATTTAAGGATAGTGTATCTTATAAAATAGTGAAAGGTGTAGCAAGACTAAAAATGTTATGTCTAATTAGCTAATTTCCTTTATACATATCTCAATTAACCATTCAGAAATTTGAACCAAATCCTCTTTCCCCGAGTTTGTTTTCTACTTTGAGTTATTTGTTGCTGAGGCAATCACCTCAAATTCAATTAGCGGAAGTTCAATTGGATCTTCTTTCTTTAATTGCCAACCCCAGAAATTCTATTATCAAATATTTGGCAATAACGAACAAGCTTCTTAGCTTAAATATGGTCAATAAACACAATTTTCAAATACTAAATTCATTCTACAAAGATTATTTCTGTTAGAGAATAAAAAATTTAAGCTCTAATAGAATGACGAACCTTTAAGGAGATTGAGATTCAAATGTAAAGTTTGCTATCATTCTCTATGGTTGTGATCAACTAGTGCTTCCAACCATCATCTACATCTACAGTTTTAGGGCAAAGCAACAAAATTTAGACCATTTCAAGGCAAAGCAACATAGACAACAAGGACCCATATAGCCGGCTCCAACTTTCTTGAGACTGACACATGATTTTGTACATCAGTCATTCCACGGGAGAGAGAAAGAGACATCATTTTGAGAAATGGGTTTTACTTTGAATCTTCACTTTCCCAAATGAATGACATTACTTTGGGAAGTGCAATCCACTGTGAAATGGGTTATTTCACTTGAACTCTAACAAAAATATTATTATTTTTATATATGATTATTGTAATACCAAAATTACCCCTGACAGAAGTAAATAATCTGTTTAAATTGATATTCACTGTTAGTAGAAGGACTAAAATCACTTACTTTAATTAATTAAAGGTTAAATATGATTAGTGAGATATCATAGGGACCAAAATCAAAATAAGTCAAAAACACAGGGACGAAAACAATTATTTTCTCATTATGAAACCATATGTTAATTGACCCTTCTTGCTTATCACTACTAGAAAAACAGTAAAAAGAGACCTCAAAAATAGGTCACAAATAGAGACCTCATGAGGTCGTTTTACCCCCTCAATTTGATATTTTTAAAGAAAGAGACTTCATGAGTTTTGTTAAATGAAATTATAACTAAGGATAGCGACCTCGTGAGGTTGCTTTTATTAGTCAAAACCGTCAAACAAAAAAATTAAAATACAACCTCACTAGGAGTCTCTATTTTTAATAAAAATACAAACCCAACTCTCATTTGTGAACAGTCATCCAACCCCACCCTCACTCTCAACCCCAATTCTCACAACCAGCAGTCCCACCCCCGCAGTGCCCCTCAAATCTGTCCAGGTAATTATTTTTTTTACATATTCTTTATACATTCTTCAAAGCCGTGAGCTTTATGTGATTTGTGTTCTTTTTAGGATTTGGGTGAGTTTTGAAAGTTGTCCATTATGCTTAATTTCATTCTTTGTTGTTGAAATTGGGAAGTGAAAAAACTATATAATATCAGGAATGAAGAAAGATAAGAGACCAACTTATCTTCCTCATTTTGTCACTTATTTGATTGAGAAATTCGTACTTAGTTTCCCTGAAAAGAGATTCCAATTTCCAAGAATAAAAAATTAAACCTAACAAGATTTGCATACAGGTCATTCTCAATATTTATTTTTTCTTTGATGTCAAATGGAGAAGAAAGAAGGAAACAAATTTCACTCATTCCAAATTTAGATACCTTCAATTCCTCATATCTGTTGTTTTTTTCAGTTTGTTATGCTTTATATTTTCCCTTCTTACTACCCATAAATTTTATAACAATCATATTCCTTTTAACATGAGTGTTGATGAGAGGAGCATAAGGTGTTTGTTTGTATATTTCTATGGCTGGGGATAGAAAAAAATGAGAGAGTGGTCTGGTTTAGTCAAGGAGAAAGTGTTGAGATTAGTTAGTGACATTGAATGTCTTCTAATGAAGGAAACCACTGCAAGGCGGTGGACGAAGGTGCAAGGAGGAAGATTTGGCTGGTGTAGTAATTGTGAATGTTTTCTCTGTTAAGTTTAATAGATTTTTAAGAAAGAACTATTAGTTTCAATGTTTGGGACTAAAAGATCTACTTTTTACATACATCAAGGACTATTAGCTTTACTTGATCTTGAAATTTAACTCAACTTTATACTATATTGGACCTTGAATTAAATTAAAAAATATTTGAACTTTGAACTAGGGACTGAACTTCGAATTTACAATTCAACTTTGAACTTAAAATTGAAAAAAGAAAACTCTGACTCGAAGCAAATTATTCTTTAAAAAAATTTCTTTAAAAGAGCTTCAAGATTAAGTAGAATAAGGTTACAATTCGATTTCTAAGATAATGAAAACACCAAGTATTTATATGTAGGTTATTAGTTGCATTAAGTCATAAGTTGAGTTAGGCATAGCTCGAGTGGCAAAAGGTGGAGAATTTGTGGCTTAGGTTGCAGGTTCAAGCCCCACACCATGCAAAGCAAAGCCCGGTATTTAAGTGGAGAAGGGTAGAGGGGCGGGCCCATTATCCACCGAGTTTAGAAGGCTGTGATTGGTCCAAAGGGCGGGTCACAGACGGGGATTTCTCAGTTATCAAAAAAAAAAGTGAGTATTAAATTTGAAACTCAATAATATTAAAAAATGTTGAATTATTACTTAATTTAGTGTTTAACAAATTCAAATTTTGTGATCTTTATGTAGATGGATCGTAGTTGGATGTATGAAAGGACTAATTTTGGTCAAGTGGGGATGAAGCCTGAATTTGTAGAAGGTGTTGATGGTTTTGTGGACTATGCAATGACACTAGAACCTTTTCAACTTAGTAGCTTGGTGAAGTGTCCTTGTAAGAAATGTCAATGTATGAATTATGAAAAACCAGAGATTGTTAAGTTTCATCTTTATCGAAATGGGTTTAAAGAAGACTATACAGTGTGGACTAGTCATGGAGAAATTGACAATAGTTTTGATAGATTTCAACACCATGTTGTTGGTGAAAGTAGTAAGGCAGTGAAACCTAATGTCCAAAATTATAGAATGCACTACATGGTTCGGGATGCGCATAAGCTGCATCCTGATTTTGAATTTCGCGACCACGTTGAAGAAGCTCCCAATGATGAATCTAGAATTTTCTTTGAACAATTGAAAGTTGCTAGTCGGCCTTTATATGAGGGGAGTCCACACTGGGAGACCGACGCGAGGTTCAAGCAGATAAACGAGGTTGCCAAGATGGTCAGAGCAACTACTAAGGGTGGCTCTCTACACACAATTGGGGTTCAGAGCCAAGGGAATGTGAAGAGGAAATTGGTACGTTCATTTCTTAAGTTATATATATTGTAGGTTATTAATATTTAATTATTCTTGATTAATAACTAAATTAATTTCGTTCGTAGGAAAATAAACTGGGGAGACCGGTAACTCAGGCAAAGGCATTCAAGACTACACACACAAGGAAGAAGAAAACCCCCGGAGATCCAGACGTTTGGGTTCCTCAACTGACCTACGTAAGCCAATAATTTAAAGTAATAATTACTTTACTTCCTAAATTTATATTCTAATATTATTACTGTTATATTCATAATCAATACATGCAATCCGTTGAGGATTACCATCAAATTCAACTAGATGATAGCCGAGGCATGCCATTGAGCCAAGAGCAGACTGAGAGAATGTGGCTAGACTCGGTTGGTGGGCCGAGTTGGTATGGGTATTCTTACGACCCCTTTCGTGAATTTTATTCGGAGCTAGAAGGCCTAGGTAGTTTCCAGGATGATTGGTCAAGGGAGAAGATTTTGGAACAGAAGATAGCTAAGCTATGTAGCCAAGTCGAAGTCTCGCGGGCTAGGGAAAGGCAGAGGGACATAGAGCATGAAGGGATTAAGGCCCAATTAGATGCACTACTTGCTTTGGTTGCTTCGGGGTGGATTCCCCCTTGTCCCAGTGATGTAGTTTGCCCTCCTCGTCTTTCCCAGTATCAACCTATTCAACATCAAGTATATGGTCAATACAGAGGTTTGACCGATGAGCCCAGCAATGATGAGGATGATGAGGATCATGTGGCAAACATACCACCTCATTATTGAAGTTTAGAGTTGTATTAGATAATCTAAACTAAGTACTTTATGGTGATTTTAAGACTTATTATGTGTTTTGTGGATGCATGAGAACATTGAAGTAGTTTGAAATCCAATTGTACAGCTTATGACTTCTATGCTTTTTCCATTCAATTTCGAAGTACTTTAAAGTTGATTTTCAAGTAGTGTTGATTGGAGGATATTTAGCACATGTATTTGTTGTAGTTTGATTGATTGTTGGCAGCTCTTTGAGCTTGATTTAGCTAATTAGAATGTACATATTATTGAATTGAATTTAAATGGATGGTGTGCAGCTGCTAAAGCAAAAATCTGCTACCAGTTTTTTTTCTTCAGAAAAGTGACCTCATGAGGTCTCTTTTCTGCAATTAAATTTTTCATAAATGCAGTAAAGAGACTTCATGAGGTCTCTTTTCTGCAATTTCATTTCCCAGAAAAATGTGTAAAGGCGATTAACAATTCGTTTCTTTCTTTATTGGTGAGTTTTTGCTGTGCCCTTTCAAGAAGGACCAAACACATTGAGGTAACGAGATCTTTATGTCCATACAACTTATGAGTTAAGTTTTTGATCTTGTTAGAAAGACATAATCATTCCATACTAATCTAACTTAACACCCTAAATTTTTGTTCCATTTTATTTTATAGTAGTCAGAATGAGTAGAAAATGGCTCAGTAAGGAATATGGGCATGGCCACATTAGGTGATTAACATATTAGGAATCACTCTGTTATTGCCCTTTTTTCTAATAACCATGGTGTCCGGGTCACTTGAGCGCACCTCTATGTTATTTCCCTAAAAAAAGCATATGAATAGAACATAAAAATCATTAAGAACACCAAGAATATTACGTTAGAAAAATGGTGAATTTATCACTTGAATCCACAGGTTTGTAGGGGTCCAGTATTCTAAGCTGGCCTCTCTTTTATCAATTAGTTTAACAAGATGCTCAGTGAAATTCTCTCTTTCCTTTTTAATTTCTCTTGGGTGAGTAGGAATTCTTAAGCATAAATGCTTCAACTACTCTTATTAGAGCAGAGGGCAGACATTTTTAAGAAGTTGTTTAAAACCTAGGACATTAGAGAATCACAGATGACATACCTACGAAGCGAGTCTTGACAAATAGACCACTGCAGTGCAGCTAATCCATGAAGTTGAGTCTGCACAAATATTATGCCATAGATTTCAATGTCAAATGTACTGAAAACGAGAAGTGTCAATTGCCTTAGGTTTTCTTTTATTACTTTACACTTTTGTTTAGAACGGGATAACACAAAGTTAAGAAGTATAAAAGTAAGACAAATGTAATCTAGTCTCTCATGAACCACGACATTCATTTTGTAAGAAAGTAAATCTTAAGTTTTTACATCATATGAAAGAGAAGCAAAAACGTATAAGTAACAACTTCAGTCCTTGTTACTTATGTGTAAAGCACATCAATTTGTTCAAGGCCTCTTTTATCATAATAATATTAACATATGCAATCCTTATCCCCAAAAGATATTTGAGCGTGAAGTTGGATCTTTTCCTTCTTTTTTGGTGGAATGATGCGGGTCATTTGCAACAGAGTGCTGAGCAAGTTAGCACCTTTACTCAAATAACATACAATGAAGTTGGATAAAATGCATCTAAACAATTCTTTCTTTTTTCTGGTTTAAGATGTGAAAAGGGGGAAAAAAAAAAGATACATGCATTAATGTTAAGTGTTGAAGTCCATCTAGTACAAGAAATCACCTGAAACGGCAACTTATTCATAACTTTCTCATAAAATGGTAGTGCTTCCTTGAGCTTGCCAAGGTCCATGAAAGAGTCACCATCCTTCAATGCCTAAGTATGACAGCACTAAAATTAAGAAGTAAGTCATACCTCATGATTCTCAAACAAGAAAGGATATAAACCCACATTAAGAATGGCTTAATAATTGAAACACTCTTCCCTTTCAAAGGACTCCTTCAAAATATGTCAATTATCTTATCTAAATCAACCATAAACATAAGTATCTGAACTAGATTAATTCCAATGTACCTTGCTTATAAACTTTGGTGGAGGCATAGGAGTAACCCCCTTCGTTGGAAAAATATACATACATAGGGCCTAAAATGATTAATTTATTTTTTGCATATATATAAGTTGAATCTCCTTGGCATGAGATTTTTAAAAAAAATCCCCTTGTTTGAGTTCCTGGCTCCACCACTGCTTGTATGGATGGAAATTTACAGGAAATCTATTTCTAAAAAGGTATGCTTCAATCAATTTCAACCATGTTGATAAGTCGTTAGTTTATTTTACAACTTGTGAATTCAAGAAAAACACCCACATCTAGCCTCTTAAATGTATTATTCGATTTAGTTTGCATTCAAAGTCTTGGAATATGAATTTATGTGCTTTCAGGTCCATTCACCTGACTTTCTTGAAGTTTACGGATTCTCCCCTAGTATTCCATACTCTCCCCCTCTCGGCCTTGATTTCAGTCCTGGAAACACAAATGAGAATGCAAGACCGGGCGCCTTATAGAGGACTTTTTGGACTTCGCAGTTCTGGAGGATAACTAATTCAGACCAATATCACTCTACTTTCTTCACATGTACATTTCCAAGCCTTTTGAGTCTTTCTAACCATAGTTTTGCTGGTAATGTCATGCCTCTTTTGTAAAATCACTGTTACATGCACCTGCCGTGCATATCGTAGCAGCTCTGCATGAACATGCAATGTTGGCACCCTTAATGCTAAAAGTTCATTCAAAACCACCCCCGATATGTGAACACAGATGTCACTTGTAGGAATTTCAGAGGTAAAGCATACTTCATAGGATTAAAGTAACAATTGGCCACATCTAGCATTTAGCTCTTGTACTTCTGGTTTATTTCCAAGTTTACTATAATCTACAATGGCTGAGTGTGCAAATATATTTAATTAACCACTGGAAAGTGAAGATCCACAAGATTATCCAATCGAAGAAAAAGTTACATAGCTCGGAAGGTGCACTTAAGTTTTAATGAGCTCTGAATGCCAATATCCCTGAAGATCTCTAGCTTCATGTCCGATGGTAGTGTGAATTTATCCCACTCATTAAGGGCCATGGCCATGATATAATTTCTAGTCTTGAAACCTTTAACTTCATTCCATCTGAATGGATTTGTGAGAAAAAAGAGCACATCAGTTCAAAGCCTCCGAAGACTCTAAATTCTTTGCTCATTCATTTAAGTGACTGACTACGCGACCAGATCTCTTTATTTCAAAATGAAACTCTGCTATATGTGTATTCAAAGTAGAAATGATTGACAGAAACATTTAATTCCACTATATGAAGAAACAAGTTTTGGTGTTACCGATCAAATCGCTAACAGCATGGCAATTCATAGAACTGGGATGGCATATAACAACTTTATATCTATGCTGAGAAGTGTAAAGTTATAAATAAATTATCAGATTTCTGTATTGTTTCTCAAGATCAATATAAGAAGGGAATTAAATGCATTTTCCATAATGAAAGAAATTTGATGCATCCATAAACATGATATAAAAAACAATAGCAGTTAAAGCATACCTTCTCACATTCAAGTTTTAGGTTTGGATCAATAGTTAGGCCTACTCTGCTCTTGTAGGTAGCAAGTAGCTCTCTCGTACGTGCTTCTTTAGCTGCCTTCTCTTCTGCAGATTCAAGTACCTCTCCTGGACGTATAGTTCTTCCACCGCCAAACTGATCTCCGAACAAGCAATAAGTTTATTCATAGTGTTTTGCTTAAATGACTATATTCATTAGTTTAAGAGATCATGGTATTCGCAAACTAAAGTTTGATAAACAGAGACTAAGCCCAACATAATAACAAGAAATAATAATCATATGCCTAATACTCTCTCCCATCTTCTACAGATCTTCACTGTGCTATCTAACACGAGTATCAGTATGTTGCACCATCTAAGATCAAATTACCTAATCTTCATTATGTAGTTGACATGCCTTCTCTTAATGAGTTTTGTCTTTGCTGATATCTAATAGTTCAAAAGACTTCTTCCTGCTAGAAAAATGTCTTTTTTCACTAATTTTGACTGATCCAGGTGGATAGATTATATATAATCTATGTAGCTGATTCAATCTATTTCATGAAATTGTCTTGCCGGATTTTTTATTTTTATTTTTTTACTGTGGGATGACTTACTAGGACATAATATGTACTCTTGAACCAAAGAAGTCCAACCACTGTGTTATGAGTGAAGGTTTTAGCATTATTGGTACAACTGATCGTTTGTTGATTGTGTGAAAACAGCTCAAGATGCATTTGACCTTCGCTTTCTTTGTTCTGATTTTGTATTACAAACTTTATCAGGATGTCTTTTTAAAGTGAAAAAAAAAATGAACCTCAGCAGAAGTGCAGAACGTCTTTGTTAAAGTAGACGAAAATGAATGTCATAAGGTAAGGGGTGGGGTTCCAGGATGAGTAATGCGGAAAGCTCTCAAGTTTTGCCTTGAAAATTAGTACCTACAAATCTCTTGAACACCCAAAAAGAAGAAAAATATGATTTGTGATGCTATGAAGTCTTTTATTTGTGATACTTGGAAGACTACTTAATTTCCAATATGTTTTATTAGTTCAACTCTAATAAAGATGCATGAACTGAACTGTGCTAAAAGTATGCATCCTATTGCCACCATCTATTTCACTTAAGGAGCTCATGTGAGTTGTTTCTCTGCTCTGATAATTTGAGAAATATTATTTCAGGTTGAGTTAGAGGAGACAGACGAAAAACAAGGCCCTGAATTTGAAGAAGCTCGAAACATAATAACAGATGTTGAGAAGTTGTTTGAATCTTCTGAAGTTTAAAGCTCTCCATCTTGTCCATTAGACTGTGCTACACTACTTTTATAACTAGAGATATTTCTAGCATGTACAAAGTTTGGAACACTGCCTCAGGAACAATTTTATGTGTACAAATTGGTCCCTAAAATTGTAGTTTGTTAATAGGACATATACATCTCGATAGACACAAACACCTAGTATATGAATAATCCACATAAAGTCATTGTTGATTCAATTAAGCAATAATAGAGTTATTAATTCACAAACAAAATGATTTAGTTAAGTGATACCAACGATCAAATTTTTATAAGAAAAAATAACCCCATGCTCAACAATTGAGAAATTATGACAACCTAATGTGAGGTAGGTTAGGCAAAAACTAAAGTAATGAATTTTGATAGATTTGAACTTGAAATTTTAATAGTTGGACTAAGATTTAAGTGTTGGACTTGATAAAATGATAAATAAAGACTTGAGTTTATTAAATCTTAACAAAAAAAATAATATTTTTATGAATCATATATATAAATAATTATAAATTTATGTATACAATTTCTCAGTTTGATTTAGTTATTTTTTTAGTAAAATCAAAATCAAATAATATCAATTTTCATAATTTAAAATTAAACCTAATCAAATATCAAATTTATAATCAATTTAATTTGAATTGCGATTCAATCTAACTTTTAATTATAACCATGAATAACTCTACTTTTTATATATTAAAATATTATATTAATCAAAACAATACAATATAACATATATTACAATACAATATAACATATATTACGATACAATATGTAACAACCTTCCAAATTAAACAGAAGAGTAATAAGGGATGTTTTTTTTAAAAAAAATACAAGCTTTCTATAGTAGGTTTTTCTTGTAAAGGCTACACACATCTCGAGAATCTGCTCACACACCGCCACCGCCCACCGGCAGTACACTAGCCCAGCGACCATCGCCCTCCGGGTTCGTGCTCTCTCTTCTCTTGTACCCAGTTTTTTTTTTCTCTGGTTCGTTTGATGTGGAGTTTGGTTAAAGTTCCCTGTAAATGGGAGGGTGATTCAATTATTTGAGTAGTACAAATAGTTTCGTTAAAGTTCTGCCTGCAATGTGTTTGACAAATTGTCTGAGAGACGATCCCATGAAGTCTAAGTAACTGATTTGGAGTAAGTTTTGGGTAGTCAGGTAGATCGTGAACTGGTTAGTCCTATGGCATTGAAAATTGTCTGCGTCTAAGTTAAGCAATCCTTTGGGATTGAACAATAGCATTATTGCAACTAAATTGTGTGTTTGAGTGGAATTGATATGTGAAACGGTAGAGTTTTGAACTGCAGGAAAATGTGATTTTTGTTCATTTGCTTGAGTTTTGTCTTTGTTAAAACGGATCTTATTTTAATTAAGGGATTACCACAATTTTTCTTTATGTTATTTATAGTAATTTAAATGCAACAAGGCTTGTGGTGATTGTTATGTTGCAATGAGAGCTTTGCTTGTGTTTACATGTCCTGGAGGTTTGATTGGGATAGGAAAGAGTTGCTGAAACGTAAGGTTTTATGGATGGATCACTGTCTATTCTGGGTTGAGGAAATTAGTCTTGTGTCTTATTGGAATATAATCTGCATAACGTTCATGTTGAAATTGTCTGGAAAATCATGGTTAGGTTTGTTAACTGAACATTTTGATGTTTGAATGAAAAAATGTTTGATGTGATATCCTTAAATACATGATTATTGACTAAGTTTCTAGTCAATTGATAGTGTGATTTGCTCATGGCTTCCTCTTGCTGCAATCAAGTTTTCATTTCCTTTTTTTTTTAAATAACCGTGGTGTCCGGGCCGGCTTGCGTGCACCTCGACTAATTCCACGGGATACCTGCTGCCTTCCTCTAGCAACATGTACCAAGTCAATCTATCCACCTAGTCTAGGACAAATGGGAAGGAATCACCTAGTGATTTTTGTCTCTGCTGGGATTTGAACCTGCGACCTCATGGTGCTCAACCTAATTCATTGACTACTAGGCCACACCCTTGAGTCAATCAAGTTGTCATTCTTGTGAAATTATCATACATGTTTCATCGTCATTGTCTCAAGTTGGTCCAACTTCTGCCTGTTAATTGCCTCAGATGCCTCTTGTCTCTAGGTCTTTGATCATTGATTTCCTTCCTTTGGTCCTGTCCTGTGTTTGCCTCAGCTGGTTTCTCACCCTTGTTCGTTCAAACTTACTTAGTTTTCTTCGGCTCAACTCTGGGAGGAGCCTACTTGTTCTGGTTCTTTTTTGGTTTGATTTAACTGGACATTGTGGCCTTCAATTTTATCTTACTTATTGTTCAAATATAGCACCAATAGGATCAAGTACCTTGACTATCTCAGGTGGAGGAACCATGACATCCATTTCAACTAGTACTCGTGCAACATGCATACGAGATCCTCTCCATTTTAGTTGTACATTTATCAGCATATATTGGAGTACCCAAACCAGTTGCTATTCTGCTTAACGAGTTCATTCCCCAGCAATTTTGGGGAGGGCTAGGGAGCTTAACCCAAATTGGAATCATTTTCAACACTTCATCATTGAAGCTGAAATCAGCACCCATGGTTTAACAGTGACTGGTTTATTATTTATCATATGGGCTCCTGATTGCACAATTTCATCTCTATCACAGATGCTATGAGATTTGAGTCTGAAATACCCATCTTTGTGATAATAGATTTGACTTATAAGCATAGGAACTTTGGTTACCAATGAATCTGGCTATTGCAACAATTGTTGGGGAGTCATCCAGTGTTATCAAAAGCTAAAAGCGCAAAAATGCTCTAAGGTCCATATCTTTAGATGGCCTTATGTTTCCATCAAATAAGCTTACCCATGGCTTATTCATAGCAGTTGCATGTGTCATGTCTAGCCTCCTTTGCGTTCCAGCTGCTTCTTTTAACTGTTTTATTGGTACCCCTCCACACAACTGGATCTGAGATCTGGGCAATCACACTCCTTGGAGCTGATGATTGTGTGTTCTCATCCTCTCCTTTTCACTAATTGTATTCAAAGGGGTTATAATGCTCCACTCTGTGCACTCACCGCGATGTTTTGCTGGGACATAGCAGGCTCAGTTTCTGGGCTCTTTCCTTTGTTCCTGTGGCGGCTGCAATTTCTTTCTTCTGTGGTATCCTCTCTTTGCCTTAGCCAGCTTAACATCCAAGAGTTGAATCTTGTTTTCTGTTTTCCTCCATTTGCCTCTAGCCATTCCAGCAATGGCATACGGAGTTTCACTGTGTGCCAAGAAGTTTTGTTAACATGCACTTTGAGGAAAGGGAACTTTTTTATGTAAAATTTTATGATATAAAAGTATAAGTGTTTGATTTTAAAACAAAATAAAAATATTTGCAATATAATTCCATTACATAGATGTTTAGTATAGAATTTACCATAGCAGTTAAGACGAATCATATATTTAAAGGAACAATGCAATATAAATATGTTAACAAGTCAATCATCCAACCAAAGATCTCCTACTACTCTCCTATATAGTACTCCCTCTATGTGACTTACTTTCCTTTTTAGTCAGTCCCAAAAAGAATGACACATTTCTATATTAAGTAACAATTTAACTTTAAAATGTCTATTTTACCCCTAATGAAATGATTTACAGCCACACAAACTTCTATCATTTATTTTAGACCACAAGTTTTAAAAGTCTTGCTTTCATTCTTAAACTTTGTGGCTAGTCAAACTACCTCACATAAAATGGGACAGAGGGAGTAATGTTTTTGTGTTCCGAAAGCTCTTGCACAAACCCTTTTAATATGATCTGTTAAACCTTCTTAAAATTTCACACATTAGTATTTTTTTTGACAGATTTCATCGAGCATTGACAATGGCTACGGTCAGAAATCTGAAAATCTAGACATCTACTTGCAAACGCATACTGAAGGATCTCCATTCCTATGAGAAAGAGGTTGAGAGAGAAGCTGCTAAGACTGTTGATATGAAGGAGAAAGGTGCCGATCCCTATGACCTCAAACAACAGGTTCCTTCTTTTTCTACTTTTTTATTAAAATTTAATTTTGTTGTGTTAAGATTTCACTTTTGATTTGGTGCCTGATCCAACAACTTTGCTCTTCACCCAAAGTTGGCCTTTCCCTTACTGTTTACTCCCCACTTTGGTGTAATTAATGGAGGACATTGGGACAGTTTTAAGGATATTTACATCCTAATTTGGTAAAGGGCTTATTCTGCTATTGCATTTCATCACAATAGTGGGTAAATTGTTTTGATTAGGCAGGTAGAGTTTAAATTGAATTACTCAATCCTCCGTTTCCCAGTCTTGTATGTTCCTTCTGAGGATGATGTTCCAGAAACTCCCTTCTCTGTATTGCTGAATAGTAGAGTTTGGCTCCCTTGCTATCTGGAACATGTTAGGATAAGCAACCATTAAAGAGGAGTTGCCTATCCATTTTCTGGAATAAGGGGATGCAGCCCAATTAGCATAACAGTATGCTGATATTTTTGTTAGAGGTTTTGCTAGACAGCAAAACCTCTTGTCCTGGTTGTTTTTTGAAGTATCTAACAACTCTGAGGGTTGCTTCCATGTGTGACTTCTTAGGTGCTTGTAGAAATTGGCTTAGAGTTCTACAGTATAGGAGATGTCAGGTGTTGTCATAGTAATATATAGAAGCTTACCTATTAATCTTTGATAGGTAGTTTGTTCAGCAAGAGTTCCTTCTTTTCTATTTTCTTCTTGGTTAAGATGATCGTCATACTCCTTAGTGGTGAGCTTAACACTTGTATCCGTAGGTGTCATGGTAGGTTTAACCCCTAGTACAGTTTCAGAGATAAGTTCTAATGCATATTTCCTTTGATGCATTAGAATCCCTTCTTTAGATCTAGCAAACTCTATTCCAAGGAGGTATTTAAGCTCACCTAAATCTTTCATCCTGAATGCCTTTTGCAGTGTAAGTTTTGTGTCTTCAATCAACATTAAACTATCACCTGTTATAAGCATATCATCAACATAAACTAATACTAGAGTGGTACCTTCTGTAATTTTCTTCATGAACAATGAATGGTCATGTTGACTTTGCTGAAATTTGAACCTTGGAAGTGCCTCAGTGAGCTTGACATTCCATTGTCTTGGAGCTTGTTTCAATCCATACAAGGATTTTATTAGTCTGCATGCTATCTTATCTTAGATTCCCTCTGACTTATAAAACCTCGAGGAAGTTCCATGTATATTTCATCAAGAAGGTCACCTTTAAGAATGCATTGTATACCACTGTTATCAAAGGCGAAAAGTGCAAAAAAAGCTCTAAGGTCCGTGTGGGCGGTAAGCGCAAAGTGTAAATAAAGCGTGGGTTTTAATGAAAAAAGGCGCAAAGGGAGAAAAAAATACAAATGTATATGTTTAGTCCAACACTAATAATTATAAACATGAATGGCAAATATATGACCCAAGAAATTGACAAAAATTTATAATAAAGTGAAATATCAATTGTTTAGTTTCACTTCTTCATAAGAGGCTCGTTGGCAAGGAAAAGTTTGTCTTAGAATCTTGATGACGACGCTGAAGTGCACATAAAGCGAGGCAAAGCGCTCAACATGTTTTGAGCCTCGCTTCAGGGCTTAAGCGCGCCTTTGATAACATTGTTGTATACACACATTTGATGTATATGCCAATGCTTGACTGCAGCAATAGCTAGAACAGACCTGACAATTTTCATTTTCACTACTGATGAAAATGTTTCATGGTAGTCAATCCCTTCCTTTTGACTATAGCCTTTGGCAACCAACCTTGCCTTATACCTTTCAACCTCTCCAGATGCCTTGTAGTTAACATTGTATATCCATTTACAACCTATAGATCTCTTCCCTTTAGGTAGAGGAACTATATCCCAAATAATGATTACTCTATAATGCCTCAATTTCTAGTTTCATTGCATCCACCCATCTTGGATCTTTAACAGCCTCACTATAACTTGTAGGTTCTATTATGGAAGAAGATTTGGCTATGAAACTTGATATCTAGGAGATAGATGATCATAGGTAATATAGTTGGGACATAGGATAGGGAGCCTCCTTATGTACAGTCATGGACACAAAGTCGTTTAACCATATCGGTGGGTTCCTTTCTCTACCTGACTTTCTAGTTTCAGATTGAGAGTTTCCTATGGACAGAGGTTGAGCAGTGACCACTGGCTCCACTCCTGACTCAGGTACAACCTGTGATTCTGAAGACTGTCTTAGTACAATCTGAGTGTATGTACATAGGCCAGAGGATTCCACGTTTTGCCTTCGAGAGTTATAGCAGGATATGATTGTAAGGATCTGATGGAGGGAACAAGATGTGAGATCTAGGAAATGACTTTTGAAGGGAAAGGTGTCTTCCCTAAATATGACATCCCTGCTGACAAACAGATTTTTGGTGTCTATATCATATAGAAGATATCCTTTCTGAGTTGCAGAATATCCCATATGGATTGCCATTCTAGATCTAGAATGTAACTTGTCAGTCTCTTTGAGAATTTTTGCGTAACACAAGCATCCGAGAACCTTTAGATGAGTCAGATAAGGTCTTTTATTGTATAAAACTTCATATGAAGACTTGTTTTGCAGGACTGAACTAGGAAGTCTATTGATTAAATAAACAGCGGCTAGCACACATAGTTCCCAGAACTTGATAGGTATTTGAGCCTGAAACTTAATGGCTCTAGTCATTTCAAGCAAGTGCCTATGCTTTCCTCTCAGCCACCCCATTCTTCTGAGGGGTACATGCACAACTTGTTTGATGAATTATGCCAAGTTTGTTGAACATGTTACCACATACTAAGTTAACAACCTCAGTTCCATTGTATGGCCTTACTATTTTAACCAACTTATCAAACTGAGTTTGTACTTGAGTTAGAAACTGTTGAATCACTACACACATCAGGCTTTCAGCAAAAATATCCATGTCATTCTAGTAAAATCATCCACCAAAGTTAAGAAGTATCTATGACCATCAAAAGTAGTAACCCTGTAAGTACCCCACATTATAGATTAGGACCCCACATTCTCCTGTGTGGTTTGCGAGCTATTGCACAGGAATGGAGGTTTTACCCTATGCGCACCCAAAAGTTAGCGGCTGCGGGTCTCCCTTGTCATAAAAAAAAGATTAGGACTACTACATGTTCTCTAGGTTGTGTCCATCTTCAGATCAAAATAATATTCTTTCACCCAAATTAGATGACCTGCCTATTATTCTTGAATTTGACCGAACCTTTTCCTCAATCCGAACTTGGTAAGCTGAGCTACATCGTCTATTTCTGGAAAGGGGAAATAATGAGTAAAAAAATGAAGATTCATCTGCTTCTTATACTGAGTTACTATCTATAAAAAAATGAAAGAGTATATTCAAGAATAATTGGAATGTAATAGTTTATGCTGTCGCAATATCTTATCCAAAAAAAAAACAGAAAAATTTTATTGTGTGCAATGTATTTAATTCTTGGACACTACTGTATATTAATTGTTATAAATGGATGGCACATTATGTTAACCAATTAACTGTATAGAATTTGCAAAGTTTTCTTTTAATGGTCTTCTATTGATGTTAATAAGAAGAACGAAAGCAACATTGATCATAATGCGTTTTGTCAAGTTTGCTGCATTATAGCTTGGATGTTTTCCACTGTGTAGCTGATGTACAATTAGTTTGTCTTGAGCACCTGAAAGCTTCACTATTAAAATACAGTTTGTGCATTCATGTGGGAACTTTTGACTTAAATAATATGTAATATCTCAAAGGAGGACAATGGATATTAGTGCTTTTGTGCCTCAAATCTCTCTTCTTTTTCTTTTTTTTTGGCTTATGATATTTGAACTTACATGTTTTTTTATTTGCATTTGTTTCAGTTGATTGTCCTAGGCTTGAAGATGGAAAGCAGTATAAAGGATGAACTCTACTCTGACATTTTCGATATGTCAAATCTTCAATCAAGTCTTAGGCTGACTACCAATTCCGGAAACAATGATTCACATGGTATGAACTTCAGCTGATTGCTTCAAGCTGATAATGAAAATTAGAAATGCATTTTGCTATTAACATTTGAATATCAAATTGCTTACCATAAATAAAAGGTATGATGTGGTGCTCTTATTCCTAGATTGCATATTTGTTGGAATAACTATCAAAGTGGAAGACTGACGGTCTTCATTTACATCTTAAGAAGTTTTATTCTAAAAGGTCTTCTTCACTGGCTACTCTCAGCAGATCTGGATTGATTAACCGTTGTTCTTTCTCCTCTCCTTCGCCTTCCTTTGTTTGTCAAAGATTATTCAAAACTTAAAGAACTATATTATCTCTCCTATCCTTCCCTACTTTCTCGTTTCAAACATTATTAAACCTCTGATCGTGATTGTGAGTAAATATGTTGGTTAAATGCTGCTAAGTGGAGATGTTCTCTTATCTATGTATAGTTTTGTTGGTTAGGATCTCTCCTGTACATAGTTTTGTTAGTAGTGCTGACTGCAATTAATATCTAATGCCAGAGAGCGAGTGGTGCGACGTGTGGAGTGATGATGGAGATTTGTGCCATGATTCTACTGATAAACTGGATAAAACATCTGAAATGGACAGGGAATGGCAGAGGCGGCATGACCAATTCCACACTGTATCCTTACAAGTTTAATCTGATTGATAGCATCCAGAAAACAAAATTAGATATGTCCCTTTTGGTTGCAAATTCAATTTGTATTTGGAATTCCTGATGAATTATTAGGTCGGATACCGTGATGGTCTTATGGCAGGGAAAGAAGCTTCAGTTCAAGAGGGATTTAATGTTGGTTTTACAGACTCTGTGTATGTTGGTTACAACTGGGGTCTTGTCAGAGGTATCACTAGGTAAGTATACGCATTTCATACATGGAACCTGTAGAGAGTTGAGTTTGTGTACTAACTAGAAATTTTCTTCGCCATTTCGGATTTAAATTTGATGTTCTCTCCTTTTCTTTCCCTCTTTGAAGCGCTTTGGCCTCTCTTCCCAATGGCTTAGTAGAAAGAATGGTTGATACAAAGGAAATCCAGAATAAGTTCCAGCACTTACATGAGTCTGTGCAATCTCGTTCAACAGTGGAAATGCTAAAGGTGTTCCGTGATTATCTGACAAAGAAAGCGGAAGAGAGTGCTAAAAATGACAACTCTAGCTCCTGCTTGGCTGATTCCAGCGACCTCAGTTCCAATGACAGTCTTCTTGAGAATTACCAGAAAGAGCTTCAATTACTTATTGATGAATCAGGGCTCAAATTGCACTTAGATACAAAGAAGTAGCTTTTTCTTTTCCTGCTTAGCTCATTGAAGTCACTTCTAGTTTTCATCACAATCCATGAAAATTGCATTCAAAAAGAGAAAAAAAACAGTACACTTGAATGCATAGTTTGTACATAGTATATTTCTATTTTCCAACATTTTATGCGTGGTTTAGTTAAACATGTATTGTACTCTGATGAGAAATTACTTTTTCCGCCTTCTACTGTCTTTTTCCTTTCTTTTATCCCAAGTTTTTGGCTATTATTAGTAGGAATGAGGTCTAAATTTGTATTTTACGCTGTTGCTTGCCTTTTCAGGTGATAGTTTGGTTGATTTCCATTTTTATGTGGTTAAGAGTGGCAAACTCCAAAGGTTTCATTTTCTCAGTTGTTTGTTTTTGTTAATTCCAGTTTGTTTGGAATCATAAGTTGAAGTGTTTGGTGAAAGTCCTTTTTTTTGGGTTTCCCATTTGGTATCCAGAGCCCATATTGAACCCCCTACTAATTAATTTGGATCGCACACTGTAGGGCGCCAACCCGAGACCTCTGGTTAAGGGTGAAACAGTCCGACCACTACACCACAACTCATGTTGGTGATAGTCCTTAACAAACTTTGGCCTGATTGATTAGAGAAATCAAATGGGTTTCTGGACTATTCAAACAGTTTTTTTTTCGTCTAAAATTTGAATGGGTTGACTCTGAAAATTGGCTATAGAAGTTGGGTTTCGAAATTATTTTGCAGCTCTATTTGCTTTTTTACGTTTTTTGTAAACTGCTGATCTTTTGTATTTGCATCAGCATGCTCATGCTGTATTAGAATCTAAGTTTAAACAACAAAGCTTTAGAAAAAACTTTACCAAGACGTGAATGGGGTTATTAGATAAGTGTAATAACTCTATTATGGGATATTCTTTGACCTTTTCAACTTAGAAACCAAGTGTTGAAATGTAGTCTCTTTGAAAGAATGCCTGTTAACATCTCTACTGAGATAACTACAACATCAAGGCATTTGGAATGTTGCTGGAAAATCAATTTGACGCAATCAAATTCATCCAGATCATGTGGTTTGTACAAATCTGTCTTCACTGACCATGGTTGTTCTTTATCTCTTTATTTGTTCATTATAGTAGTTTCTTTGGTAAAGAAAGTAACTATTCGTTATGTCCATGGAGATGTGCATATAGCTGTTTTGTATCTTTGTCAAACAGTGGCAGCAAAATAATGGAACTCAAAAGCACTAAATCACCAAGTGGATTTTCATTGTCATTTGATCAACTACTAGCTGCTCCAACCAACTTCAAAGAAGAAAAACAAAACTTTACAGCCCACATCAACAAAAAAGGCGCTTTGGGTCAGCTACCTGGGTTCTGCTGCAGTTTCTGTTTATTGGTTAGTGTTTTTCATTCTTTGCTTTGATCAATGTGGTTCAAATCAAGCTTGCGACTTTGGGATGTGAGAGCAAGCATACATATGGAGTAGTTATACCATTTGTCATTTTTCCTTTTTTTTGTCCTTGTATGACTTATCGATCTTTAGGATTTGGCGGATGAATAATGATCAGTTGGATACATGAGAGAGTAGTATCTCCAACTTGAGAGAATAGTATCTGAAATTAAGTGATCTTTAGGAGAAAAAGGTAAAAGTTTTGTGATAGTAAATAACTTTAGCTAAGATGCAGTTGTTTTGTCCATATACATGGAGCAGTTAGTGTTTGAATTGTTCCTACTCTTCGATGAACTCTACAATCTCTTCTAACCAATATTCGGGCTGTTAAATTCAATTTGCTCAGTAGTGATTACTGGTTAAATGCATGTCAAAAACATTTTATTGGCATATTTCAGATAGTAGCAGAGATGATAGTTGAAGATAATGGTACCATAGCATGTCAGGATACATATAAGAAACATTAGCCAACTGTAGATAAAGCCATAGATTGAAGTACATAAAACCTTTCACAGCAGTACTAAAGTACGTGTAGGCATAATCCTCAGGAAACAAGCACACTAGAAAGCTCTATTATAAATTACTTGAGATTCCATGATGATGTTCTCCACCATCTAATCCCAATCAATTCCTTTAATGCCGTTAAGCTGAAATCCTTGCACATGTTGGAGGGTTGTGAATTGTGAGCAACAAGCCAGTTGTTCCTGGACGAAAGATTGTCTTACTAGCTCCGCGCTGATGTCCACCTGTGCCACAATGAAAGCCTGTGCTTATTGTAACTCATCTATGAAAACAATTCTGTGTATTTCAAGATTTCATCTAGCATTCTGGTTATAGTAGTTTGATTATGACATATAAGGCAGAATTGTATTAGATGGTATGAGTTTTGTACTGACCTGGAACTGGCATCAGTTGCAAGCTTGAATTGGTCTAGGATGTGTGAATCCTGATGCACTGCGCCTGAGGTGAGGCTCCCATTTAGATGTTGGCAATACTGTTTCAAAAGCCTCCACGAGCAATGCAACCTTTCTCTTACGAGCTGGTGCAAGTTTGTCCACTGCTCGTCGGAGTGCAAAATCAAGCATCCAGTCCTCTGCATTTTTCCTGTCATCCATCATCTGATGCTTGAGATCAACTTTCTCTGCATCTGGATCTGGCTCCAGTGGCAGGAAATTTGGTGGTCGTGGATTGAAGTCTCTTGACTCCTCTGGCTCCTTAGTGTCATTGCGCCTGGCTATGCCTCTCAGGTTTATGTACCTCTCAGACATTTCTTCACTCGAATCATATTTTGCATGTGTCTTCTTATCTTTGATTTGGTTCTGCTTTTCCACACATGCCTCAGCTGTTTGATCCACTTCGACACCAGGTGCATTTTCACTTCCATCTTCAACTTGATGGCTTGTACAGTCTTCAGAGGCGTTTTCACTTCCATCTTCAGCTTGATGGCTCACATCGCTCTCGTCCTTGAGATCTGCCTCTACTACCAACTGTTGAGCATTATTGCCATGACCATTTTCATCTCCTTGTTCACAGCAATCTGTTTTTATTTCTGTATCTTCCATCTTGACAACAATGTTTTCATCCGAACGTTCTTCATTATCCTTACAGGTTTCATCTTGCACTGCATTGAGATAGCAAACATTGAGCTCTTGATAGCCTTTAAGTGCAGCTGCATCATCATCTTGAGGAGTTACGCATTCTTCGTGAGAAGTTGCAGTTTCATCTCTAGACAGAAGGTTTCTTCTGCCTTAACAGCAGCCTGATAATCCATTGTTGCTGTCTCACTATCTGTACCATCCAGAATCAAATTGACATCTAGAGAGATAAGTGTAGTGTCCTCAGACACTTCAACACACTCATCAATGTCAAATTCTGTATGCGAACAGATAGATTCGGAGTCATCATAATCATAACTTGTTCCAGAGATGATAATTTCTTTATCAAATGACTCTTCCAGAGTGTTGTCAGATAGAAGTTCAGGATTAGATGATTTTTCCGTGAACTCCTCGCTGACAACTGGATCATCAACCAATGTGATGGGATCTGTATTATCTGAGATTGAACCAATTTCGTCTTCGCTATATGCATAGTACTTCTCTACATCCCAGTCCATATCAGAAGCTTCATATTCCAGCTCTTCTGCTGTTGCTTCTATCTCTATTTTAGTGTGCATACTCAAGGATTCAATATCCACTTCCTCTTGAACCATGTCACTAGCACCTTCGTTTGGATTCTCTGCAGGACAAAAGCCAGGCGTGTTGATTTCTGCTGAAATAGCTTCTCTCTTTTGATCAAGATTGTCCTCGGTATCATCTGCTGCCACTTCACTGCTTTCACCCGAAGGTACAAGATCAGTGACAGAAGAATCAATGATGTAATAATCATCTACCGAGTTGGTCTCTTCCTTTTCGTTGCTATAAATTTCGACAAAAAACTCCTTGTCATCTTCATTTGTCAGAGGATCTACCTTCTCTGTAGTACTCTCTATTTGTTTTGGCACATTATCATTCAAGCCTAATCCACGAGGATTAGCTCGACGAGGAGAGACACATCCCAACTTGAAACTCCTCTGATTCTTCAACATACGCCTTCTTGCTGACAAGAAACACTTCAATGGAGGCAAAGGAGGGTGATGATGACCATTAAGAGAGCAATATGTATATGGACAAACCTTGAAAACAGAAGTTCCATCTGATTCTGTTCCTCCAGGACTAAGTTCAAGATATGAAGGAAACTTAACTTCTTTCAAAGTTGATGAACATGTAGCCCTTTCTACTTGGAAATCATCATACCTAACAATAGGGGAACATGATGAAACTCTTGTTGGTTTAAAACTAGGAGTTCTAGCTAACAAACTCCTTATTGGTTTATTAACAGAACTACCCGAGCCTAACTTTGAGTTACTTGAATTCTTTCTACTACAACTTTGTGAATAAGTTTGAAGGCTCCTTGAACTTACCTGAGATTGCTCTTTCCTTGCAACAGAACTGCTTGTGGACTTCATATAATTTGGAGTACATATTGATTGCTGTTGTTGCTGATTCTGATTCTGATTCTGACGCTGACGCTTCGTTGGTGTTGATGAGTTAGTACTAGGGGGTGGTTTGCCTGGCTGAGGTACATATTTTCTGAAATTTGGTGAGTGGGATATTTCATATTCTAAGTGTTTGGTTTTGCCTGATTTCTTCATCATCTTTTTCTTGAGTTCAGCTTTTCTATTCTTGATGGTGTCATGGTTTTGTGATATAGGCAAAGATGGTTTGTGGTTCATTATTTGGTTGTTGGCTTTTATAATATGATCAGTTTTGATACCAAGCTTGTTGAGGACTTTTTTTTGCACCATCTTAATTTGGTTTTGGGAAAAGAAAGATATATTCTTTTCAAGGATTTATGGATTTGAGGTAGTGTTTCTTCATATTAGAGATAAGAGAGTTTTAGTTCATGAAGAAAGGAAGTTTTTGAAATCTCAACTACCAGAGATTCCAAATGGTTTATTTGCCTTTGGTTTGTAAGCAGCGTTCTTCTTCTTTTTTATGTTCTTGTCTTGCTTTCTTTTGTGTGTATGTAGGTGGGGGTGGAGTGGGGTGTGGAGTGGGGTAGGGGTCTTCTTGCTTTTTGGTGTTTGATTTGTCATGTGGGGAACTTTTTAATATTACAACGACATATTTAGTGTAATTTCACAAATGGAGTCTGGTGAGGATAGAGTGTATACAAAGCTTATCCATATCTCGAGGAGGTAGAAAGTTGGTCAAGTGCAACAAATCAAAGTATTTATGAAAAGAGGGAATAACATTCTCAGTGTAAATCCACAAATGGGGTTTGGTGAGGATGGAGTGTACATAAAACTTATTCATATCTCGAGAAGGTAGAAAGATTGTTTTCGAAAGATCTTTGGTCAAGTGCAACAAATCAAAGTATTTATGAAAAGAGGGAATACGACAATGGAGAAAACATGTCAATTAATAAAAAATAATTAATGATAAGATTAAGATAAGAATTAGATGCTGACCTGCACTAATAGGGAGGTCATAGGGCCCTGTGGCCCTTTTGGATTTTTTTAATTTTATGTTCATTTTGGTTTGCATTATTGTGATATATGTGACAAATCAACATATGGCACTGTCTCGTTAAAATAACTGATGGATTATTTGGTCCAATACAAAGTTATCCTAATTATGATTCAATTTTCACAATATTTAAATCATATATTTTACTTTTTTACCTGTCTCATCTAATGTTTTTCTTGAGCCGACATCCCACTTATGAAATCATAATGAGTATGATATTGTTGTTGTTATGATCCTGAAATTATAATTTCACCTTCTATATGTGATAGATAATTGTAAGATTTTGAATATAAATTTTATTCTGATTTAGCTTATAATCATAATGAAATACTTAACAAATTAATTCAAACTTTATATATAAAGGGATGACAATTTTTTTCTATTCGTGAAGATCCCACCAGAAATACTATATTATTATTATTTTGGAAAAAAATGACAATGATAGGAGCAATAATTTTAGTTAAAGATCAACTTAGTTGGACAAACAATAGTGGCATAAATTATGGGAGCATAACATATGGTTTAACTGATTATGTAAATCTTTAATATATATACCCAAAGCCATTAGTTTTCAAGTAATAAACCTTATTAAATTAATCATAGTTCTAATATAAAGCTATAACATTTACATCAACTTTCTGAAAATATTAGGGATGAGGAATATTATCTTCTTTTTGTGCTTTATTATTAAAATAAAGAAAAGTAAAATAATGGGAATAAACAGAAGACAAATCTTGTATTCTAGGGTGATTTAGTTGACCATTAAAAAATCAATGGACTCCTTTAATTTATTTTACTTTTAAAAAAAGTTAGTGGAAATGGCCACAAATTTGGCAGAAAAAAGAATTTTGAGCAAATGGTCAGCAAATAAAAGCTGGGGTTATATTTATAAGACCCCACCACCCACCATGAGGTACTCAGGAGGAGCGTCTAATTTGTACACCAGATTTTTGCAGACGCTCCTCACCCCTTTTTTTTTTTTTCTCTCTTTGCTTTCTCTTTAAGGAAAAAATAAAAAGTAGTGGTTAAATTTTTAAAAAAATATCGAGATGATTATTTTGTAAGTTAAGTTGGGATGTTTAATTGAAATAGAAAAAAAATGAGTTAAGTCGTTAAGATGTCAAAACATTGTCTATAATAACATATTTAATGTATGCAGATTTCATTTTTATCTTAAAAGATGAAAATAGAGAGATGGTTTTTAATAAATCTAGATGGGACAAAAACAGTTAGAATTGGCAGTTTATTCCCAATTAGAGATGTTTATCTTTTGATAATGTTACCAACAATTATCAATTATGTGAAGTAATCACTTCTTCTTTTTTTCTTTTTGGTGCCAAACTAACTTCTGTGCACCGCCCATGCATGAAAGTTGTGGATATAAAATGGGAGTCTTCTTTTTCTTTTCTTTTTTTTGGCTCAGTTTATATTAGAGTCCGACTGAATTTAAATTACGCATTGTAGGATTCATTTGAGAGTGGGGCTCCCAACAAGATTTTTTCTATATTCAAAATTCAAACTTGAAATCTCTGATCAAGGAAGCAATTCCACAACTACACCACGAGTCCACGACTCACGTTAGGAGTCATTTCCTATTAGACTTGAATTGCATGGGTGCTTTCATGTCTTGTTTAATGTACCATTGATAGGACTCTTTTAGTCTCGTGGCATTTTTTTTCTTTTTAGTCTGTCTCAAAAAGAATATCAGCAATCAAATCCATTGCAAGGGGATTTAAATCATCTTATATTCGAGAAACACGCTATTTAGTCCTCAAATCACGAAGAAAATTCTAGAAAGAATCAAGGGAGAAACAAAATTACACACACAAATATATATATATTCATCAATAATATCTATGTCTCATTATATTTTAATCTCTAATTACAGTTTATTTTCTGCACTTTAAAATTTATTACGATACATAATTATTTGCTAATATTGGAGAAGTTTCACAATAGCAAATGAATTAGGTGTTCACCCCTTGATGTTGAAGTTAAGATTTAACTATTGAGAGTTCCAACACTATAATTCCATCGAGAGGAGACTGCTTGACCTTAGCTCCACTAAATCTTTTCGAATATCATGAATATCCTTCACCCCCTATCTCCTCATCTTCCTATTTATAAGCCACAGCTTACTTCAACGTTTTCAATTTCCCATAGAATCTCCGGAGCTTTCCTAGCCACTATAGTTTTCTTTTTCGAGAAAATACGAGACATCTAAGTCATACAAGTAAAGAGATCTATTCATTTTTAAGAAAAAGAAAAAACGGAGATTGGATTGATAATAAAATAGAATCCTGGGTCGCGAACAGTGATTCGATTGAGGATGAAGAAAGAGAATTCTTGGTTCAGTTCTCCACCTTAACGACAAAAAATATACATGTTACTATCTCACATCAACACAAATCGTATGACTCTAACCATCAAAACTTAGATAAGTGAGAAGAAATCATCTAAATATGCATTTTTATTTCTTTTGGAATTAGATACACACTTAGGTGAAGATTGAGTATCGCACTCACTTCATTAACCGCTAAGATACACACTTAGTGAAGATTGAGTCTAAATAGTTTTCTTAACCCAAAAAAAAAGTATATAGTTATGTTATTTCATGTCTACCATACTTGACAAAAGCATAAATAGTGTTTCATGTACATGTATTTAGAATAATAAAGCTTCATATTATTATAATATTAAATTGAGAAACTACCAAAATGTACCATTCGACCAAATTTATTTACCAATATAGTCTGAATATACAAAACCTATTATATAGTATATGTAAATTATAGTTAAATATACAAAAATTATACATTTGTTAGCTATTTTGTAAACTAGATACCTAAAGGTGTTGGATGGTAATTATCTTATTTGATCATGCATATGGAGATTTTACCAAACTCAATCTCGACATAAACCCACAAGTTTATGCACCAATGGGTGTGGCCTAGTGGTCAATGAAGTGGTTGAGAGTCCTGAGGTCTCAAATTCAAAACTCAAGTACATGTAGCTAGTAGGAGGTAGTGCATGAAAGTTGGACCGGACACCACGGTCATAAAAAAGAAACCCACAACTTTATTACAATATATACTAGGGAGAAACATGCATTTCAGTTGCAATGTTATTTGCTGTTTGAGTTTCAAGATGTTAAATGCTATACAAAACCTATATACCCTTTCTTAGAGCAATTAATAGCACAATAAAAATAGGAAAAAGAAGAAATATAATGTAAGGGATTGCTTGTTGGACTGCACCTTCTTCTGTTTCATCCTCGGAATAGTTTACTTTATCCCTAATAAAAGCGTCGAAATAATTCTGATAACCAGTATTCATGGAAGAGAATGTTGAGCCAGTTACCTTCATCATTTCCATGGCCTGCCATCAACCAAGACAAACAATTTGAGTGCTCCGTAGCAACAAGATGACCTGATTTTGCTCAGCATGAGTTTAGAGAATTTTTGTCTTATCCTACATAAGTTGCGGAATATCTAATTCTAGTGTTGTAATATAAACCATTGAATCCCTAGACATAAGGGAAGGTTCTAGTGTAGAGTGGTAAACATGGTCGGAAGTTACTTAAGGTCAGACGTTCGAATTCCAGCTATGATAGTCTAGCATTTTTTTAATATCCCCTTGTATAAATTCTTGGCTCTGTCATTTGAAGGTGTGCAATATCCAACAAAGCCCTTAAAGATACCTAAACTTCTAATCGGCTGTCCAAAATCAAGAGTGTTATTAAACTTCAACCTTTCAACATCTCTTTACACTCTAGGTAGATGCACAGCATGAACTACCTGAATAACTAATGATTACCTGAAAGCTGAACATAAATTGTCTTGCTTTCTTGCTAACTTCAGGATTAGGATGAGACTGAAGCTTCTCGTACATTGAACGAGCTTCATTGGACCTGTCCATATATGGTGTGGAAATGAATGATCAGTCTTAGAAGCAGGCACAAGGACCATGCAAGTGCAAGTTCACGCTTAATGATTTGAACATTCAAGCATCACAAAGATCATGAAATGACAGAAGGTTTGTTGCAAAAACGACCATTCCACGCTGAAGTTCTAGAGAGATGCAATTCCCTTTGGACTCTACATAATTGGATGGGATAAACACTCATCTTTTATGTATTTTTCATGAGTGTTGGTTTTGGGCAGGAAGTCGGCAAATGTTGATTTTGGGAGTGGTTTACTATGCATTTCAAAGACAGATAACAATTGATTAGCCAGTAAGTCAATTAAGTACAAATATGAAGGATGTACTAGGGGCCTTTTTTATAAGTAACTACCAGGGATTGATATATTAGAAAGTTGGTCAATTGATGTCTAGAGATAGATGCTCGTCGCATATAATTTATGAAACCATATGGTTAATTGACCCTTCTTGCTCACTACTAGAAAAACAGTAAAAAGAGACCTCAAAAATAGGTCACAAATAGAGACCTCATGAGGTCGTTTTACCCCTCAATTTGATGTTTTTAAAGAAAGAGACTTCATGAGTTCTGTTAAATGATATTATAACTAAGGATAGCAACCTCGTGAGGTTGCTTTTATTAGTCAAAACCGTCAAACAAAAAATTTAAAATACGTCCTCAGTAGGAGTCTCTATTTTTAATAAAAATACAAACCCAACTCTCATTTGTGTGAAACAGTCATCCAACCCACCCTCATTCTCACAACCAGCAGTCCCACCCCCGCAGTGCCCCTCAAATCTGTCCAGGTAAGTTTTTTTTTACATTTTCTTTATACATTCTTCAAAGCCGTGAACTTTATGTGATTTGTGTTCTTTTAGGATTTGGGTGAGTTTTGAAAGTTGTCCATTATGCTTAATTTTATTCTTTGTTGTTGAAATTGGGAAGTGAAAAAACAATATAATATCAGGAATGAAGAAAGAGGGAGATCCAATTATCTTCCTCATTTTGTCTCTTATTTGATTGAGAAATCCGTACTTAGTTTCCCTGAAAAGAGATTCCAATTTCCAAAAATAAAAAATTAAACCTTACAAGATTTGCATACAGGTCATTCTCCATCTTTTTTTCCTTTGCTATCAAATGGAGAAGAATGAAGGAAACAAACTTCACTCATTCCAAATTTAATACCTTCAATTTCTCATATATGTTATTTTTTTAAGTTTGTTTTGCTTTATATTTTCCTTCTTACTACTCATAAATTTTATAACAATCATATTACTTTTAACGTGAGTGTTGCTGAGAGGAGCATAAGGTGTTTGTTTGTATATTTCTATGGTTGGGGACAGAGCAAAAAATGAGAGAGTGGCCTGGTTTAGTCAAGGAGAATGTGTTGAGATTAGTTAGTGACATTGAATGTCTTCTAATGAAGGAAACCACCGCAAGGCAGTGGAAGAAGGTGCGAGGAGGAAGATTTGGCTGGTGTAGTAATTGTGAATGTTTTCTCTGTTAAGTTTAATAGATTTTTAAGAAAGAACTATTAGTTTCAATGTTTGGGACTAAAAGATCTACTTTTTACATACATCAAGGACTATTAGCTTTACTTACTCTTTGAAATTTAACTCAACTTTATATTATATTGGACCTTGAATTAAATTAAAACAATATTTGAACTTTGAACTAGGGACTGAACTCTGAATTTACAATTCAACTTTGAACTTAATATTGAAAAAAAAAAATCTGACTCAAAGCCAATTATTCTTTAAAAAAGTTTCTTTAAAAGAGCTTCAAGATTTAAGTAGAATAAGGTTACAATTCGATTTCTAAGATAATGAAAACACCAAGTATTTATATGTAGGTTATTAGTTGACTTAAGTCATAAGTTGAGTTAGGCCTAGCTCGAGTGGCAAAAGGTGGAGGATTTGTGGCTTAGGTCACAGGTTCAAGCCCCACACCATGCAAAGCGAAGCCCGGTATTTAAGTGGAGAAGGGTAGAGGGGCAGTCCCATTATCCACCGAGTTTAGAAGGCTGTGATTGGTCCAAAGGGCGGGTCACAGACAGATTTCTCAGTTATCAAAAAAAAAGTGAGTATTAAATTTGAAACTCAGTAATATTAAAAAATGTTGAATTATTACTTAATTTAGTGTTTAACAAATTCAAATTTTGTGAACTTTATGTAGATGGATCGTAGTTGGATGTATGAAAGGACTAATTTTGGTCAAGTGGGGATGAAGCCTGAATTTGTAGAAGGTGTTGATGGTTTTGTGGACTATGCAATGACACTAGAACCTTTTCAACTTAGTAGCTTGGTCAAGTGTCCTTGTAAGAAATGTCAATGTATGAAAGTTACCAGTTTCAAAAAAAAAAAAAAAAAAGAAATGTCAATGTATGAATTATGAAAAACTAGAGACTGTTAAGTTTCATCTCTATCGAAATGGATTTAAAGAAGACTATACAGTGTGGACTAGTCATGGAGAAATTGATAATAGTTTTGATAGATTTCAACACTATGTTGTTGGTGAAAGTAGTAAGGCAGTGAAACCTAATGTCCAAAATTATAGAATGCACTACATGGTTCAGGATGCGTATAGGTTGCATTCTGATTTTGAATTTCGCGACCACGTTGAAGAAGCTCCCAATGATGAATCTAGAATTTTCTTTGAACAATTGAAAGTTGCTAGTCGGCCTTTATATGAGGGGAGTCCACACTGGGAGACAGATGCGAGGTTCAAGCAGATAAACGAGGTTGGCAAGAAGGTTAGAGCAACTACTAAGGGTGGCTCTCTACACACAATTGGGGTTCAGAGCCAAGGGAATGTGAAGAGGAAATTGGTAGGTTCATTTCTTAAGTTATATATATTGTAGGTTATTAATATTTAATTATTCTTAATTAATAACTAAATTAATTTCGTTCGTAGGAAAAGAAACTGGGGAGACCGGTAACTCAGGCAAAGGCATTCAAGACTACACACACAAGGAAGAAGAAAAACCCCGGAGATCCAGACGTTTGGGTTCCTCAACTGACCTACGTAAGCCAATAATTTAAAGTAATAATTACTTTACTTCTAAATTTATATTCTAATATTATTACCGTTATATTCAGAATCAATACATGCAATCCGCTGAGGATTACCGTCAGATTCAACTAGATGATAGCCGAGGCATGCCACTGAGCCAAGAGCAGACTGAGAGAATGTGGCTAGACTCAGTTGGTGGGCCGAGTTGATATGGGTATTCTTACGACATGCCCCAGCGACCCTTTCGTGAATTTTATTCGGAGCTAGAAGGCCTAGGTAGTTTCCAGGATGATTGGTCAAGGGAGAAGATTTTGGAACAGAAGATAGCTAAGCTATGTAGCCAAGTCGAAGTCTCGCGGGCTAGGGAAAGGCAGAGGGACATAGAGCATGCAGGGATTAAGGCCCAATTAGATGCACTACTTGCTTTGGTTGCTTCAGGGTGGATTCCCCCTTGTCCCAGTGATGTAGTTTGCCCTCCTCGTCTTTCCCAATCTCGACCTATTCAACATCAAGTATATGGTCAATACAGAGGTTTGACCGATGAGCCCAGCAGTGATGAGGATGATGAGGATCATGTGGCAAACATACCGCCTCATTATTGAAGTTTAGAGTTGTATTAGATAATCTAAACTATGTACTTTATGGTGGTTTTAAGACTTATTATGTGTTTTGTGAATGCATGAGAACATTGAAGTAGTTTGAAATCCAATTGTACAGCTTATGACTTCTATGCTTTTTCCGTTCAATTTCGAAGTACTTTAAAGTTGATTTTCAAGTAGTGTTGATTGGAGGATATTTAGCACATGTATTTGTAGTAGTTTGATTGATTGTTGGCAGCTCTTTGAGCTTGATTTAGCTAATACATATTATTGAATTTAAATGGATGGTGTGCTGCTGCAAAAGCAACAATCTGCTACCAGTTTTTTTTTTTCAGAAAAAGAGACCTCATGAGGTCTCTTTTCTGCAATTAAATTTTTCATAAATGCAGTAAAGAGACTTCATGAGGTCTCTTTTCTGTAATTTCATTTCCCAGAAAATGTGTAAAGGCAATTAACAATTCTTTTCTTTCTTTATTGGTGAGTTTTTGCTGTGCCCTTTCAAGAGGGACCAAACACATTGAGGTAACGAGATCTTTATGTCCATACTAACTTATGAGTTAAGTTTTTGATCTTGTTAGAAAGATATAATCATTCCATACTAATCTAACTTAACACCCTAAATTTTTGTTCTATTTTAATAATAGTAGTCAGAATGAGTAGAAAATGGCTCAGTAAGGAATATGGGCATGGCCACAAAAGGTGATTAACATATTAGGAATCACTATGCTATTGCCCTTAATTCTAATAACCATGGTGTCCGGGTCACTTGAGCGCACCTCTATGTTATTGCCCTAAAAAAAGCATATGAGCAGAACATAAAAATCATTAAGAACACCAAGAATATTATGTTAGAGAAATGGTGAATTTATCACTTGAATCCACAGGTTTGTAGGGATCCAGTATTCTAAGCTGGCCTCTCTTTTATCAATTAGTTTAACAAGATGCTCAGTGAAATTCTCTCTCTTTCCTTTTTAATTTCTCTTAGGTGAGCTGGAATTCTTAAGCATAAATGCTTCAATTATTCTTATTAGAGCAAAGGGCAGGCATTTTTAAGAACTTGTTTACAACCTAGGACATTAGAAAATCGCAGATGACATACCTACGAAGCGAATCTTGACAAATAGACCACTGCAGTGCAGCTAATCCATGAAGTTGAGTCTGCACAAATATTATGTCATAGATTTCAATGTCAAATGTACTGAAAACGAGAAGTGTCAATTGCCTACAGGTTTGCTTTTATTACTTTTCACTTTTGTTTAGAACAGGATAACACAAAGTTAAGAAGTATAAAAGTAAGACAAATGTAATCTAGTGTCTCATGAACCACGGCATTCATTCTGTAAGAAAGTAAATCTTAAGTTTTTACATCATATATAAGAGAAGCAAAAACGTATAAGTAACAACTTCAGTCCTTGTTACTTATGTGCAAAGCACATCAATTTGTTTAAGGCCTCTTTTATCATAATAATATTAACATATGCAATCCTTATCCCCAAAAGATATTTGAGCGTGAAGTTGGATCTTTTCCTTCTTTTTTGGTGGAAGGATGTGGGTCATTTGCAACAGAGTGCTGAGCAAGTTGGCACCTTAACTCAAATAACATACAATGAAGTTGGATAAAATGCATTTAAGAAATTCTTTTTTTTTCTGGTTTAAGATGTGAAAAGGGGAAAAGAAAAAACAGATACATGCATTAATTTTAAGTGTTGAAGTCCATCTAGTACAAGAAATCACCTGAAACGGCAACTTATTCATAACTTTCTCATAAAATGGTAGTGCTTCCTTGAGCTTGCCAAGGTCCATGAAAGAGTCGCCATCCTTCAGTGCCTAAGTATGACAGCACTAAAATTAAGAAGTAAGTCATACCTCATGATTCTCAAACAAGAAAGGATATAAACCCACATTAAGAATGGCTTAATACTTGAAACACTCTTCCCTTTCAAAAGACTCCTTCAAAATATGTCAATTATCTTATCTAAATCAACCATAAACAGAAGTATCTGAAGTAGTTTAATTCCAGTGTACCTTGCTTTTTAAACTTTGGTGGAGGCATAGGGGTAACCCCCTTCGTTGAAAAAATATACATGTAAATAGGGCCTAAAATGATTATTATTTTTTTTGCATATATATAAGTTGTTGAATCTCCTTGGCATAAGATTTTTTTTTTTAAATCCCCTTGTTTAAGTTTCTGGCTGGAACATTTACAGGAAATCTATTTTTAAAAAGGTGTTCTTCAATCAATTTCAACCATGTTGATAAGTCGTTAGTTTATTTTACAACTTCTGAATTCAGGAAAAGCACCCACATCTAGCCTCTTAAATTCTTTATTCGATTTAGTTTGCATTCAAAGTCCTGGAATATGAACTCATGTGCTTTCAGGTCCATTCACCTGACTTTCTTGAAGTCTTAGGATTCTCCCCTAGTATTCCATTCTCTCCCCTTCTCGGCCTTGCTTTCATTCCTGGAAACACAAATGAGAATGCAAGACCTGGCGCCATAGAGGACCTTTTGGACTTCGTGATTCTAGAGAATAACTAATTCAGACCAATATCACTCTATTTTCTTCACATGTACATTTCCAAACCTTTTGAGTCTTTCTAACCATAGTTTTGCCGGTAATGTCATGCCTCTTTTGTAAAATCAATCTTATATGCACCTGCCATGCATATCATAGCAGCTCTGCATGAACATACAATGTTGGCACCCTTAATGCTAAAAGTTCATTCAAAACCACCCCCGATGTGCGAACACAGATGTCACTTGTAGGAATTTCAGAGGTAAAGCGTATTTCATAGGAATTAAAGTAACAATTGGCCACATCTAGCATTTAGCTCTTGTACTTCTGGTTTGTTTCCAAGTTTACTATAATCTACAATGGTTGAGTGTGCAAATATATTTAATTAACCACTGGAAAGTGAAGATCCACAAGATTATCCAATCGAAGAAAAAGTTGCACAGCTCGGAAGGTGCGCTTAAGTTTTAATGAGCTCTGAAGACCAATATCCCTGAAGATCTCTAGCTTCATGTAAGATGGTAGTGTGAATTTATCCCACTCATCAAGGGCCATGGCAATGATATAATTTCCTAGTCTTGAAACCTTTAACTTCATTCCATCTGAATGAGTTTGTGAGAAAAAAGAGCACATCAGTTCCAAGCCTCCGAAGACTCTTAATTCTTTGCTCATTCATTTAAGTGACTGCCTACGCGACCAGATATCCCTCTTTATTTCAAATGAGACTCTGCTTTATGTGTATTCAAAGTAGAAATGATTGACAGAAACATTTAATTCCACTTTATGAAGAAACAAGTTTTGGTGTTACCAATCAAATCGTTAACAGCATGGCAATTCATAGAACTGGGAATGGCATATAACAACTTTATATATATGCTGAAAAGTGTAAAGTTATAAATAAATGATGAGATTTCTGTATCGTTTCTCAAGATCAATATAAGAAGCAAATTAAATGCATTTTCCATAATGAAAGAAATTTGATGCATCCATAAACATGATATAAAAAACAATAGCAGTTAAAGCATACCTTCTCACATTCAAGTTTTAGGTTTGGATCAATAGTTAGGCCTACTCTGCTCTTGTAGGCAGCAAGTAGCTCTCTCGTACGTGCTTCTTTAGCTGCCTTCTCTTCTGCTGATTCAAGTACCTCTCCTGGACGTATAGTTCTTCCACCGCCAAACTGATCTCCAAACAAGCAATAAGTTTATTCAGAGTGTTTTGCTTAAATGACTACATTCATTAGTTTAAGAGATCATGGTATTCGCAAACTAAAGTTTGATAAACAGAGACAGCCCAACATAATAACAAGAAATAATTTCATTCTGTACAGTGTACCCTATATAGCATCAAAGGGACGGACAAGTGTTCATAAATGAGCTGAAAGTTGTTCATGAAATTGGTTTTTAGAGATAGTATCACAAGTGCATCCATAGTGAAGTCCACTCAAACAGGGTTTACTAAGATTTGAAGTGTAATTGGTAGAATGTCAAATCAGAAGATTTGAAACCAAGTTGTAAATGCCCCAGCAAAAATTTTGAGGTGACTTTGATGCAATGCCACATCAAAACCCCTATAAGAACCAGTCATGGAAAATAAAGTTATACTAAGAGATCACAAATGAAACATATGTCATAAAGCTGGCAATATGCAAGGAAGGGCCAGGGATAAGAAGGCTAAGGAGACGAAATGCAACCTTTTGCAGATTGCTGGTCTGTCAATTTGATTTTATGCTAATTATCAAAAACATACCAGACTAATAAGGTACCAATACCCAAGAAACCATTAAATAGGCTTCATTTTAGCAGTAATCAGTCATGACTCATGAGTAAGTTTTCTCCTACTCCTCCGTACTCGCAAAGAGAATCATCCTCCCAATCGAACCTCCCCCACCTCCAAAAAAAAGTGCACATTCAATGATATCCTTGTAAAAG